TTCCTGTGGGAGAAAAAATATTTACCTCGGTTAATTTTACTCGCGGAATTGAGACCATGTCTGGGAGAAGGCAGAAAAACTTTTGAATGTCTGAATTAATGTTCTAAGTCAGCATATAGATACTTTTTGGACAATTGTGATTGAAGCAAATATGCTGAATTGGGTGCCATTTCGCTTAAATTCAAGACATCAGTAAATTCATTCAATTCATATTAGCATCAAATTATTTTTAGACACCATAAAGTATCAAACAGTGCTTCTGCCTATTTTGTTTGATTGATTTTGGTTGATATACAAGCTTTGTTTGCTGCTTTTCAGCATGCAAAAGTACTATACAGCTTTATATGCACTCCCCCAAAACATTAATAGTTTTAACACGTTCTAGATTTCTAGCTAATAAATTGTTTGCATCTATTATATACTGTATAGAGGTATTGAAAGAAAATACAACCTAGTACATTACATAAAAATGCATGAAGAATGAATTTAATTCAAGAATTACAAACATCACAGCCCAAAGCTATTAAGATCTTACTCATCAATAGTATATCAGTCAAGTAAAAACAATTCTTGGAAACAGGAGAACCTGGTATTGCTTTAGTAGCCTTTTTTCTTCCAAACAAATTCAAACTTCAGTGAATCACCATTTGTCATCTTTGACATCAGTTTATTTCCTAGTTAAATGCTTTCAATGTGTCACCATTGTACCATTTCCAACAAATAATTTCTTGAAGCTCATCTTGAACAAATTTGATGAGAGCAGATGAAATATTCCTTACTGAAGACAATCTGGTCTAATGTTTTTTGTCAAAATAATAAGGAAAATGCTGTAATTCATACTGATGAAAAAAGAAATTTGGTATTGAGTAGATTCTTGCTGCATTGTGTTCATGGAATTTTGGCTAGCTGGGATCTTGAACACAAATTAGTAATTTTTCATGGAAAATGTGTTATTATTATACGTTATTTTCAAAAGAAATATATTTGTGAGTTAACCGTTTTACTTTTCTTACAGAAAATAATTGCCGTATTCTGCAATTTGTATTACTGGTATTCTCTTTTTGTTATTATAAGGAGGGGAAGAAAGTGTATGCATTTACATAAGTTATGCCATTCCACATTTTGGGATGTATTTTCTTTTCTTTTAATATCCATGTACAGCTTATTTCTCTGTTTTTTTTTTCATTCTGATGTGATGGAATGTGTTTGGATGAATGTGGGCAGTGAGGGGAGCGGGTCTGGATGTGGGCACATTGCTTGAGCCTTGTGAATGCTGAAAAGCAGAAAATAAAGCTGGCTGATCAATCAATCAATCATAGGAGGAAACATCATGCTGCATTCAAGAGTGTGAGCACATTTCCACAATTCAGGAGGTAGGGGTGCGGAGTACAAAAAAAAAAAGAGCTTCCTCAAAATTGTGTTGTTTGATGGAAAGAAAGTGAGCTGATATGTTTAGGAACGTTTTGTGCTGCTGCAGGAATATTTGGAATGTGTCCGCACCCTGCTTCTGCTTGTACACCTCATCACAGATGTACGTGGCATGTGCGAGAGTGACCACCTGCTGGATTGTTGGGTTGGATTCAAACTGGGTCAACGTACTTGAAGTTGAGATGCCTGTCACTGATGAGGGTGGTGACAGGTTTGGAGGAGCAATGACGGGTTGCCGCGGGGGTCTGCCGGGTTGTTGTACGCAGTGCATTGGATGTTGCCCCACTTCAAAATCCTGCTGCAAGCTTACTGGGTGCCAGACTCCTGCCTGTTTTGACCCCCTGCATTCAAATTTTTTCTGGATGACTGGGTTGCTCAAAATGAGTTTCACTCATTATAATTACAATGGACAGATGGACATGTGCTCCACACAGTGCCTTTTTCATCTGTAGCAGTGCAATTTTCATTGCCATTTTGATGACCTTGTATTTTTTATGACTTCTGCTTGTGATGATCACAATATTGAAACTTTTTGAAAATTGACCATTGATGACAGGAGTGATGACTGGCCAAATTGATTGATGAGTGAAACTGGTCTTTGGCAATTCAGTCATCCAAAACAAATGTGCATGCAGGGGGTCACAGCCTCACAGGAGTCATGAGGCTGACACCCAGCAAGCTTGCATCATGATTTGGGGCAAAATCCCACTGATCAATTTTTATTTTACACTTCATACCCTTACCTCCTGCATTTTGGGAATGTGTGTATGCTCTTGAAGGCAGCAGTTTGCCAATTGAATCCCTGGTCCTGCACTCCATGTATCCCTAAAAACAGCTCTATAGAGAACAGCAGCTTAGTCAGTGCAACTGCCTGACAATTTTTTATTGCAAAGTTTCATTTAAATGGTTCTTGTGACCATGTTGTGACACTTTTGACCATAGAACCGGATGCCATTTGAAAAGGAATTGAATAAACTTTCATATGGTACAATTTTTTCATTGCTGCAGCTTAATTTTTTACCAAGCTATTCTGCTATTGTAAGTCTAAAATTGGTTCACTTTTGTTGGTCAACCAGGTATCTTCAAATTACTGTTTCTGACTCGCCAATTGTCAAACAGGATTTTCTCATTGTTTTTTTTTTTTTTTTTTTTTGCAGATGAAAGGTGGTGCTTTGATCTTCCGAAAACAATGAAAGGATGGAAGTTAAACGGCAATACAACAGAAGTGCAAATTCTTGGAGCATCCCCAGCGACTCGACCGGAAGCTGTGCAATATTGGGTCATCTCGTATCTGGCCCTCAACATATTTTGGCTCATCAGCATCGTACCTCTAATAATGGGTTAGTTCCAGCATTAAACATTGTTATTGTTATGTTCTCAAGGCAGAAATATTTTAGAAACTCAGATGCTTAATTTTCAACATAGTACTGTATCTCCTTTTTTTGCATCAACTTCAGCAAAATGATTCCATGCTATTTATGGGGCTCAAGCCTCAATATAATTTGATGTGGAGTGATATCAAGATTTGAATAAAACACGTTATTCAGTCTGGGACAGGACTGGGATTCCATTCAGGAATTCCTAGTTTAAAGAGGAGTAAAATGTATTACAGAATGAAGTTGGAATAAGCAGCAACTCACTTGAACTCAACTTGAATAAATTGGAATAACACAGCAAAAACTGAATCAAATCTAATGACAACATGAAGAAAGACCAGCTTATATACTATTAATTAAATGTAACGTTCACAAGGTTTTAATTTACAATCATAGCAAGAAAGCTAACATCAAGGATGCTGGCACTGCAATTTTGAGGAGGGGGAATACTGCTTCTTCTAAGAGCTAGGTACGCTATTTTACCTGGCGTGCATGCCCAACACTATTTTTGCATGTCATACCTTAATATTTGTTTTGGAGTTCATGCAAGGCACCATTTTTTCCTGAAAAGAAAAAAGGGTACCTTTAAAGTATGTTCAAGTTCAAGGACTGGCAAAGAAAAATTTGAAAAGCATTTTCCATAATTTATTAGGGTCATTTGGCTGAAATATATTCAAATACTGTGCCATATATGAAAACTCACATCATCAGGGTACTTGATTGGGCTCTTATTTTAGTGAACTCAATTTCTGACTCCAGCCATTCTAAAAATAAATACAAGTGAAATCTTGGTACTGCAAACCTCTGAGCAAAACTTGCGTTTTTTCAGAAATCGTGCATTTTCCCAGAAATACTATTCTCATTCCTGGAAAATCGCGGTTTTTACTTTTCAACAAACATTTGTAGACAAAATACATTTTTGGATTCGAATTCCAGCAAAAGGAAATATACAACCCATACTACGCAAATGGATATTAATCATATACCAAGCATTTTGAAAATGCAAACACATAAATAGATTCCAAACAAAGTTTGATGATGCTAAAAGTCATTTGAAGATGAGAAAATTTTTTTAAACATCTGATACATTTAAAATCATGATTTATTATTTGATGGGAGATGCAGCTATTTTCTGTTTCTATGGTTCAGAATTCGAATGATATAGAAATAAATGATACCTTTTATTCAAATGTATTCATTTTTATTTCATAAATAAGATTATTTTTTAAACTGCGGAGATTTCAAGTCCCAGAGCTGAGAGTTGCCAATTTAGGATAATAGGGGAATTTAAGATAAAGAAGACCATCCCAAAGTTTATCAAACGCTCTTTTCGCTCAATTAAATAATGTCTAAGATTAGCCCTGATATAAAAGCAATGTAAAATTTTGAATGGAACCCAATGCGCATGCTTCAATAGATACCTAAAACACTGTTTACCATCATTGTCTATGATGACAATAATGAATATTCTGTACTTTCCTATAGGAGTGAAAAAAATGAACAAATTTTTGACTTCCAATAGCTTGCTGTAGCAAACCAAGCTGGGGCAATGAAAAAATTCAAAATGGAATCTTGTTAAATTAATTTTCAAATGGTCTGTAGTTTTTGGCCCCAAGTGATGCCAAGTCAGCATGTTCACAAAGAACCATTTCAATGAAAAATTCACGCAAAAAAAGTTGCTCGAAATCAATGTCACTCATTATAATCATTATAGCCAGCCATAACTTTTGTAATCCTTATTAAATTTTAAAAAATCGGTTCACTTTTATGGCCAACCCTGTACGTATAAAATCCAATGCAAATTTAGGATCGAATCGAGGAAGAAACCATTATCCTGATAAAAACCCAAACACAGATAAGAGAAAACACGTAGAATCGTTGCGATGTTTTTTCTTATCACTCCATAACTGTCACATTGTCTCATGTATATACAGTATACTGTACTTCGCGGGAATCGCACCAAAGTGAACTTTTCAAATACTGATTACATGAAAAACCGTTTCTACGAATCATCTGAATAACAGGTGACAGAAGTAATGAAAAAAATGTTCAACATTCAGCCCCAACTTTTCCGTTTGAACGCCCTTGAGATTTGATAACTCACAGGAGAAATACAGGAGAAACTCAATCACGTCAGTATATTGAGAATTTTACTAAAACGGACAGGTGTCAAAGGTATGCTGAATGCCACAGGAACAATAAAAAAATCTAGTGACTATTACGCATTTTCCGGATCCAGTGCAATGATTCAATTTGCTATTGATTTTACGCATTTTAACTAAAATTATTTACACTGTCTTTAATTCTGATTCACGTTTTCCAATATAATGACTAGGACACAATGAGAAATTTACTCATTAAAGGAAAAGGGAATATTAGATCAGTAAATTCGGAATAACATTTTAATCCAATAACGTTTTATTCACAGCATTGAGGAAAATATTTCTAGAAGATTACTCAGTTTTTCAAACAATAATTTTTAAAAATCTGGCAATACCTGAAAATTAAGCATGATATAATTGTCTATGTGTAGGTTTGATGTTGAAAAATTCTTCCATTAGTTATTGTCATTATAAACATCTTGTTACAAGAAAATTGTTGATACAGTAGTACAATGACAAACGTTTTCCAAAGTCCCCCAAAATAAGCTGTTGGGGTAAGAAGATTTTATTACTACAGTCAAACCCCGATAAGACGCCACCATTTCTCCAGAGCAATTTTGATGGTTTAAAGGGGTTGGCAGTTTATCAAATACGGTATTTCCTTTTAAATTATTTGATCAAAAATACTTGATTTTACTCCAAAAGTCGTAGAAATACAGGTTTTCTTCAACTTCAGTAATTTTCCAAAGACCAATGGATTAATCTTTCAGAAATTCATTTTGCTGCATCAATTTATTCAAATTTTAAAATTAGGTCAATTTATTGTTCGAATTTTAAAAATGATTGTTATTCTTTAATTTTTGCAAATGCAAGATCCTTGACAGAAATTAAAATTCCAAAACAATGTCGGCGTTGTAATGGAGACAAAACCAACAGGAAACTGCACTTTTGTTTCATCACTATTTTAATGGCGGATGGCGTCTTATCAAGGTTTTCCATAAAATTTAACATGGAGCAGATTTGCTTTATTTAAAATGTTGGCGGTTGCCAAGGGTGGCGCTTTATTGGGGGGCGTCTTGACAGGGTTTGTACTGTACTACATGTAATATACTTATAACCAACAGGAATAGCCAGCAGAAAATCCGTCATGCTTCTGCCCTGGATATTCGTGACCAGCGCGGTGTGCGCGGCAGATGTCGCTGCTACTGCAGTGTTCGCCTCTGACCTGGCGCGACCCATTCGCAACTACAACCAGAACCTGCGCACGAGCTCGGAGCCGTNTCTGAGCAAAACTTGCGTTTTTTCAGAAATCGTGCATTTTCCCAGAAATACTATTCTCATTCCTGGAAAATCGCGGTTTTTACTTTTCAACAAACATTTGTAGACAAAATACATTTTTGGATTCGAATTCCAGCAAAAGGAAATATACAACCCATACTACGCAAATGGATATTAATCATATACCAAGCATTTTGAAAATGCAAACACATAAATAGATTCCAAACAAAGTTTGATGATGCTAAAAGTCATTTGAAGATGAGAAAATTTTTTTAAACATCTGATACATTTAAAATCATGATTTATTATTTGATGGGAGATGCAGCTATTTTCTGTTTCTATGGTTCAGAATTCGAATGATATAGAAATAAATGATACCTTTTATTCAAATGTATTCATTTTTATTTCATAAATAAGATTATTTTTTAAACTGCGGAGATTTCAAGTCCCAGAGCTGAGAGTTGCCAATTTAGGATAATAGGGGAATTTAAGATAAAGAAGACCATCCCAAAGTTTATCAAACGCTCTTTTCGCTCAATTAAATAATGTCTAAGATTAGCCCTGATATAAAAGCAATGTAAAATTTTGAATGGAACCCAATGCGCATGCTTCAATAGATACCTAAAACACTGTTTACCATCATTGTCTATGATGACAATAATGAATATTCTGTACTTTCCTATAGGAGTGAAAAAAATGAACAAATTTTTGACTTCCAATAGCTTGCTGTAGCAAACCAAGCTGGGGCAATGAAAAAAATTCAAAATGGAATCTTTTTAAATTCATTTTCAAATGGTGTGTAGTTTTTTGCCCCAAGTGCCAGCTCAGCATGTTCACAAGAACCATTTCAATGAAAAATTCAAGCAAAAAAAGTTGCTCGAAATCAATTTCACTCATTATCATCATTATATAGCCAGCCATAACTTTTGTAATCCTTATTAAATTTTAAAAAATCGGTTCATTTTGATGGCCAACCCTGTATGTATAAAATCCAATGCAAATTTAGGATCGAATCGAGGAAGAAACCATTATCCTGATAAAAACCCAAACACAGATAAGAGAAAACACATAGAATCGTTGCGCTGTTTTTTCTTATCACTCAATAACTGTCACATTGTCTCATGTATATATACTGTACTTCGCGGGAATCGCACCAAAGTGAACTTTTCAAATACTGATTACATGAAAAACCGTTTCTACGAATCATCTGAATAACAGGTGAGAGAATTAATAGAAAACATTTTCAACATTCAGCCCCAACTTTCCCGTTTGAACGTCCTAAAGACAAATTGAGATTTGATTACTCACAGGAGAAATACAGGAGAAACTCAATCACGTCAGTATGATGATAATTTTACTAAAACGGACAGGTTCCAAAGGTCCTGGTATGAATGCCACAGGAACAATAAAAAAATCTAGTGACTATTACGCATTTTCTGGATCCAGTGCAATGATTAAGTTTGCTATTGATTTTACCCATTTTAACTAAAATTATTTGCAGTGTCTTTAATTATGCTTCACGCCTTTCAATATAAAAGCTAGGACACAATGGGGAATTTACTCATTAAAGGAAAAGGGAATATTAGATCAGTTCATTCGGAATAACATTTTAATCAAATGACGTTTTATTCCCAACATTGAGGAACATTTCTAGAAGATCACTCACTTTCCAAACAATAATTTTTAAAAATCTGGGAATGCCTGAAAATTAAGCAAGGTCTAATTGTCTATGTGTACAGGTTCGATGTTGAAAAATTCTTCCATTAGTTATTGTAATTATAAACATCTCGTTAAAAAAAAAAATTGTCAATACAGTAGTACAATGGCGAACGTTTTCCAAAGCCCCCCAAAATAAGCTGTTGGGGTAAGAAGATTTTATTACTACAAACAAACCCCAATAATTTCTCCAGAGCAATTTTGGCGGTTTAAAGGGGTTGGCAGTTTACCAAATACTGTATTTCCTTTTAAATTATTTAATCAAAATACTTGATTTTACTCCAAAAGTCATAGAAATACAGGTTTTCTAGAAACTTCAGTAATTTTCCAAAGAGTATTCCAGTGATCAATGGATTACTTTTTCAGAAATTTCTTTTGCTGCATCAATTTATTCAAATTTTAAAATTAGGTCAATTTATTGTTCAAATTAACAAATTATTATTGTTATATTTTCCCTTTTACAAATGCAAGATCCTTGACAGAAATTACAATTCCAAAATTATGTTGGTACAGTAATGGTGACAAAACCAACAGGAAACAGCACTTTTGTTTCATTACTATTTTAATGGCAGATGGCGGTTGGCGTCTTATCGAGGCTTTCTTTAAAATTTAACAAGGAGCAGATTTATTTTAGTTAAAATTTTGGCGGTTGCCAATGGTGGCGCTTTATTGGGGGGGGGGGAGTCTTAACAGGGTTTGACTGTACTACATGTAACATATACTTATAACCAACAGGAATAGCCAGCAGAAAATCCGTCATGCTCCTGCCCTGGATATTCGTGACCAGCGCGGTGTGCGCGGCAGATGTCGCTGCTACTGCAGTGTTCGCCTCTGACCTGGCGCGACCCATTCGCAACTACAACCAGAACCTGCGCACGAGCTCGGAGCCGTTTTTCGGGAACCGACTGGCGGCAGCCATGTTCCTTCCACTCGTGTTTGCGCGCGGGGTCACGTTTTGGGTGGGCAATGTTTTGTGCGTTTGTGCTGTGTGGAAGGTGGTGCAGAGAGTGAAGCAAGGCAAGCCACTGACAGACGCTGATAGACTGGCTGCTACTTTTGCTGTGGTGAGACTTGCACTGTATTCATTTCTCTGAATTTGTGATTATATATATCATGAAAATTTAAAATTTACAAATTGTCCTTGCAAAACCCCCCACTCTCATGAACAGTCTTGTATTTCTGCATCAGAGGCAATTAAAATTAAAGAAATTAACTCGTTTTTCTGTATGCTGAAATGACCCGATGCTCCTGAGTCCCCTTGTCAAAATGTCAAAATGCTAACATTTTGTATGCTGAAGTGATGCTTGCTCAAATGTCAGAAAACCCATTGAATATTACAAAAGGAATTTCAATTTTAATCAAGCCAAAATTGCCAAGGATGTTTAGCAGTGGGACAACCATGCACATAGCACATTTTTATTTGACCAAAAGTTACAAGAACACCAGCATCAGGGTAGAGTATAGTCACTCAAGTAAGAAAATCTTTGTATTGTATAATAAGCCAAGTGACGAAATTTGCAAAATCCAGCAAGCAATGAAATTTCATTCTATTATTTTTGTAGGAAAACTGAAGGCTTCATTTTCAATAACATACCAGTAGCGTTTTGATTGAATTGAATTTGTTAAAAGAATGTGTTTATTATGCAAAGAGCATCATATAGAGAAATGCGATATTGTCTCTTAAGTTTTGAGTGACATTCGGTGCCTATGTATACCTAGCATAATAACAAGCAAATTCAAATAATCAAACCCTTTTTCTATATACACAGTCTGACTCAGACCACATTACAAAATGTTCAAAGGAGGTTTACCAAATCTTGGTGCACATAGACAGTTTCTGAGCTCTGTTCCAATGTGCTCCAAATTATATATTGCAGATAAAATGTGATGAAATCCTGTTTCAACTCAAACTATAGAAAATTGCAGCATTTGGAAAAACTGCTGAAGGTATGATTACCTGATTCTGAAGCTGTAGTGACAATAGATATTTTCAAAATACGTCAGAACAATAATTTAGCTATGCTTGTTTCACAAAAAGAAATACCTGGATACACCATTCAAACATGAACAAATGTGAAGGAATATACAAAGGAATTATACTTCAATCAACAAAAAATTCGAAATTGAAGATATTTTCACAAGATCCGAATGTTTATGATAGAAATTAATATACGAGTCAATGACATTTTAAAGATTTATACATTATATCTTTGATTTGAATGGATGTATCCATAATTAATATTAGTGCTTGTGAAAAATGCTTGTAAAACCATGTCTACATAGTAGGCCAACAACCATGTGAATTTTGGACATAAAACACATTACAAAATAAGTTATTGTCCCTTGCATTTCAGCAAGAAAGCCATTTGCATCCCAATTAAAGCTGCAAGATTAAATTTAACTCTGAACCAAATAACATTCTGCATTAAAAAAATAAAATTTCCCATGTACAGTACAGTCATATTTTTATCCTCATTTAATTTAACCAAGAATAAACTTATCTGAAATTCCTTCATGTAATTCGCTTCAAGTTTGTTATCCATTCTTTTGCGCTCATTTTAATTTTGAGAGCTTTTTGTCTCGGATGTTTTGAGCAATTATCAACTTATTAGTGGTCTTGATAATTTTACAGAAATTCATGTCGACGATTTTGTTTTTCTGCAGGACGACAAAAGATCTTCGTCATACAGTCGACGAGTCCTGGAGATGCAGGCGAGACCCTCGTCAGCGACGATGCTGAACTCGACACCGTCGAGCAACGACCCGCGGGCAAACACAAAATCCCAGCAGGTGTACTTGAGCAGCTTCAATCAAAATAGGTACCGATCAAGTACCCTTGCAAATTATGAGGACGCCTCCACGTTGCGGGCTTCGGAAAAAGCCCTGATTGTGCGTCCTATCCGTCTTCAGAACCCCACGTCTGCAGGGTCTCACAGGTCACAGGCAAGTGAACCCCCTTTTCTGCTTGTAAATAAAAGGTAAAATAAATAGGTTTCCTTTTTAAAAACGGCATATACTGTAGTACGGTGGTGTATACCCTCATTTCAAGACGTTTCACGCGAGAGTTTTTCTTTTTTGCGCAATTCATCACTTGTAGTATACAGTACTGTAAGAATTATTTTTTGTGCGAAAAAAAAAATTCGCGAAAGTTGGCGCAAGATCATTCTGAAAGAACGAGACATTTTTAGGCAGCACTGTACAGCAAATATGAACACACCCCATTATCCCCAAACTTTAAATTTTTTCATTTTTAACAATTTTTTTCAATTTATTGCATGATGGTGAGTGAAAACTTTCCAGTTACTGTACAACCAGTTTCGACCCATGTTACAGCTGGGAGTTGAAAATTTGTGAGGCTATAACTAAAAAATTAAAATGTTGCTGTTGTATCACCCATTATCTTTTCTAAATTTCAGATGGTAGTTGAAACAATAAAAAATTGAACAAAAATCAATTACAGAGTGCTAAAAATTTGTGATGCTAGCTAAAACATCAAATGTTTTCTGTTTTTCACCCATTGTATTTTTTATTAATTTTAGATGATGATTGAAATAATAAAAAATTGAAAAAAACTGAACTACAGGGTGCTCAAAATTTGTCGAAGAAGTTAAAAATGGAAATTTTGTCGTTTTTTCACTCATTATAATTCCACATTTTAGATGTACAACAGAAATTACTTTCTTAGCTCGCCTGACAAATTTTAGCTTTCTTTTACATCGTAAGCTTGGATAATTCTGGCTGTAACTGAAAAGTTTCAGTTACAGCCAGGGGGGGGGGCTAATCAACAATAACAGAACTGGATTTTTGGCAATCCAAAAATCAAACATTTAAAAAATTATATTTTTCGCACTGTTCTGATAGCTGGATTCATGGCATGAAAAAATGCATTGAAATTGGTGGAGAATACTGTATGTCGAACAGCACAAGTGTTGCCAAATGATGGGCTATGCGAGTTTTTTTGGAATGGTTGAAACTCCCTTCATCTCAGAACAATCCTTGTATATATATATATATATACATATATATACATATATATATACAGAAGCTCAAGAATCGTAGAAGCATGCCGCCATGCAGCGAGATCGTCATCAACGTGGACCCCCAGCAGTCGACACTGACGACGGGGCGATCCAGGCTGTCGAATGCGGCGGTTTCCACCCCTAACCTGGTGGACGCCACCAAAGAGTTTGACTTCCGGCGTTACGGAGGAAGCACCGGGACCATGATCCGGCATCCGGATGATCCGCTGCCAACTATTCAAGTAAGGTCATTCGCAAATCGAAATTGACAAGAATTTGCGTTTTATTATTCATGATGACGAATGGTGCACCGTAAATAACTCTTGTTAATTTGAGTGTCAATTATTCAAAAACTACGCGAGACGTCATGGGAAAACCAAATTCTGAGCAAATTTAAAAAATCAATTCAAGAGCTTTATTTACAGGTGGGCTCTCTCTCTGCAAATAACTTATTACAACGATTTTCTCTGTACAACGAATTTTTTTGCGGTCCCTCATTAAGTTCGTTGTATAGACGGACAAGTCCAACTGTAATATTTTTACAGTAACTGCAAAAGGTAGAAACAAATTTGAGTTATGAGAAGAAGCATTTTTGTTCGACAGAAAAAAACAAGAATAGGAAATCATAAGTACTTTATAGTGATGTTTTGGTCCTTAAATAGCTTCTCAAATATGAGTCCACAGGATGGTGAACTTTGACGCAGGCCAGCCCAATTATAGTCTTTCACTTCCTTTCAAAAAGCATCGTCACATTTTTATGGCTTTCCTTTTTCCAATTTAAATAAAAAAAATACCCAAAGGGCCTCAGAAAATTCGATTTGCTGAGGTTTTGGAGGAGATGCCTTATATAGATGAGTTACCAGGGATTTTTAATGCGCTGTTTCTGAGTGAACTCAGACAATCGGGACTTGGAAAAAATTCGACCTAAGGCGGTATTCGAGGTTTAACTGATGTATTCACACATTTTGCAGAGACAACGTCGAATGTCAGATTCATCATCCTGCGGCTCCCACTATTCCCTAGATCGTCGCGGCTTCTCCACCAAACGAATCCACCGAGTGGCGGACACCACCTACAACTCACCTCCAACGTTGTTCTCCAGCATACCGCCAACTACCACCATCACAACCGCCGCCGAGGCAACCAATAATTCCCCGCTTCGAGACACCCAAGTATTCAAACCCTTCCCATCGTCCAACGGCATCCCAGGCTACTCCCTGTGGTCTCCTGACGAACCCGTGAACCTCTCCGGCTTCATGCGAGCAGACGCTTCTCATCTTCACCACCAAATCACATCAGCATCATCACCACTGCAACAAGACATGATCATCAGTCTCTACACTCCTCCGTGGGACGCACTGCGAGGCTCTCGAACCTTTTCCGTGTCCACCGACATCTCGAACCTGTACGAAGAGATACCCGGTGAAGACTGGGTGCTTCCCAGCGGCAGAAGAATGCGTCATTACTCGAACGAAGACTTGCCTGGTTACTTGGAAGGTGTCGGGCATCGACGAGAGATGACGAATAACAAAGACTCTTCTTTGTTGCTGGCTGACACGGGTATTCTTCCGTCGATGGTCTTGACGGAAGAGCAGGAAGATGTCGTGAATAACTCGAGGAACAGAACCCTGAGCAGGATCGAGGAGTACTCGGATGGAGACGAAGTGTGAACAAACAGATGATGTGTGCTTTTCTTTTTTATTTATTGCGGGGAGAAAAAAGGAGCTGTATCATCGCAATCAATGTGCCTGTATTTTTGTTTTGTATTCGGATATCCGACAAAATGCCATGCGTATGTTACGTGGAGGTATAAACGTGAGAAATAGATTCAATGTTTGAGATCTTGAGTGTGGAACATATTGTCGGATGAACTTCGCTGCAGACTTCGGATTACCAGATATTGTTTAAGAATAGTTGAAAAAAATATCACCTCCATGAAATGCGGTCCATCAGTGAACTGATGGATTGGTCAGAAAATTTTCCCTCAGAAATCCTTGGCTTCATCTACCAAGAAAGCAGAAGTGCCAAATAGAACACATGCTCTGAAAAATTACATTTTTGTACAACTTTCGGAGAACCATTTTGTTCTTTTGCCTGATCATCTGATTTCGTATTTCACACAATGGCACAAACATATTACTAGAGGTGGATTCTCTCCCACAACAAAATTCGAGGGACCAGAAAATATTCTTTTATTTAAATTACTTCGTTTTAGTGAGCCCTTATAACATGGGTAGAAACCCCTGTGGGAGATTTCAAAAATAATGATTTGGCACAGACAGACAATCTTATTGTGCACAAGGTCATCGTAGAGAGTCCACCTGTAGTAATATAGCTAGGAGTATTACCCGATTTATTCAAGTACCATACACTCAGATTTTTTTATCCTAAAATTCTGATACAATCCTATTCCCAGGTAAAACATGCACCCCAAGCACAGCAGTATTCTAAAAATAAGTTCCACCAGAATATGGATCTTGTATTTAAATCAAACCTGAAATAAATTTTGTTTCCAACATTTTTTTGGGTTAAAATTGGTGCAGAAGTTCCCATTGCAATCTAGTATGACATGCACCTATACCTTCCAAACATTTTTGAAAAATGTTATACTTGCATACAACATTTTCTCCTCCAAATTTTTAGCAAAAAAGTTCAGATGGTACTTGAGTAAATTTGCTAAATGGATCGTCAGTCATCTGTTAGACTTCATGGCATACTGTATGGGTGGACACTCTCTGTACTTCAGTAAATACAGCAATACCCTCTTTCTTGTTAGTACATATGGATTCTCTGTTCAACAACATTTTTTTCAAGCTCCTAATGGTTCTCTCCCTATGTTAACACGGTTCTATACATTTAAATTCTGTAAACACTTTTTCCTGGTCCCTTCAATTTTATTGTAAATCTTTGTTCTTTTAATGAAAGCAAAATATCATGAAGCTTCAATTTACTCTTGTGACAAACACATCCGCGTAATAATCTTTAAATAAGGTACTGTAATTTTTCCGGTTGCGAATCCAAATTATGAAATAGTTTCTTCCATGAACCCCGTTGTACACATCAGTTTATTCTGGAAGACAATCAACTCAAAACACTAAAACCAGGAATATAATCCAGCAACTACTCAAAGCTGACGTTCCCCGAAAATCACGTTCCTTGGAAAGAAAAACAAAAAAACCAGAAGTACACTCTCAAGAATCCACAAATTCAAAATAAAAATCACCCAGGATTAAGAAAGAGAAAATGATTTCAGCGCATTCGCGAAACATTGCCGCTTGAAGGGCATAATATTCAAAGAATATCGAGGTATAAGATTCGAAGATCTTTCAGTTCAAACGGGTGCAAAAGTGAGGGGGAAAGAATGAGGACACACTTCAAGGGAATCAAAAACAATTTTTAAAAAAACACCCCGAATAGAAAAATATCCAGTTGCACGCCAGAAAAATTTCTTAAATTAGCCAACCAGAGAATAAAAAGAAAATTTCAAATGAACCGTACGTTTTCGTACAAAGTTTAAGTTTAAATTTCAACGTGAATACAATAATTCGATGCACGTTTCACAATATTTTCTTTTTCCCTCGATAGCGGAACACCTCGTTGCAATTTCTTTTTTTTTTTTTTCCTTTCCAGCTGAACACCAAATATTCTTCTATTCGGGGGACGATCCGAAGTTTTTTTCTCCTCTCCTCATCTACATGGAACAATTTTCTTCGCCTCAAAAAAAGAAAAGAATTTCCTCAAAAATGCTTTTCGTCAATGACACCTCCAACAGATTTTTTGTTCCTCCTCTCCTTCCCAAAAAAAAAACATGATGTTTCCACTTTGTTTTGAATTTCAGCTCTGTCACTGTCCATCACAACTTACAATCGCTCTCTTCGTCTTCCACACTCACACGCACGAACATGAGCAAACGATTCAGTAAAGAGATGGAGCATAGCCACATCAAAAAAAAAACATCATGCATGAATCTCGTCATGAGTGGAAAAACAAAACAAAGGAGAAACCGGATTACTGGAATGTAAAACGTTTGACCCTACAGACCGATTTCCTGCACTACAACACTGTCTCCTCTCCGTTTCCCTTATAATCATCATCCTTTTACACAACAAACAAAAACAAAAAAAGCAAAAAAACTGAGACCAATTCCGATGTGAGAAAATTTTCTTCCCACGTTTCCTTCCCCCTGCTGGCCCCTCAAACCGTCTTCTTTTTTTTTCTTTGAACAAATCCCGTCAGCTTCTAGCGTCCAAATTGAGAATGTCGAGACGAACCACTCACGCAGACCGGCTTATTCACACTCGTAATAAGCAGAAGAATACGACGACGACGATGGATAGCTGCTGGCAAGAACCTGAACCAAATACAAACCTTCGGGGGTGAGTGAAAACCGGAAGAAACGTGGCCTTTGAAGTAAAGGTTTTCGACAGCGTAAAACACGAGCAGGATTCTCAGCATTGCACAATTGACCAAGGAAGCCACGAATGAGCTAGGGCAGCATCAGCAGCAGGCCAGGCGTTTTCCTCATCTCCTCTCGTCTTCCTTCGGACAGCACAAACGAGGCAATCGTCATCCCTTCCGTCATCCAAGGCATGTCCCTCTCGCTAAGTCTAGTATTTCCTGCAATGCGTTCGTTTTTTTTTTCAATTAAACATTTCAATGCGGAATGTTTCCTTCTAGTAGACAGCCATAAAGACACAAGGGATCACTAAGCAAAGAATACTGTACTAGGATTAGGTTCAATAACTAGAAATAATAAATTCAAAACCTCTGTTTCGAAATTTCTGGAGGCCTTTTGGCTATTACTATACTTCAATGACACAGGGAAGAGAAAGGCAATAAGTGTAAATTGATGCTTTTTGAGAGAAAGTGAAAGTCTAATTGGGCAAATAAACACTTCCATCCAAGTTCAGCATTCTGTCAACTCATTTAAGAGGCAACTTAACACCTGGAATATCCCCAGCTACAATTCCCTCCCGTTAATACCAAGACAAAAGATCGCTTCCCCATCTGGAAACCTCCTCAACACCAATTTGTTGCTGGTCCCTCGCAGTTCGACTTATAAATTTCCGAAAATATGTCTGATCGCAGTACTGCGATTATCACTCTTCCTTCGGTGCTGTTTTACAATTAAGTGATTTATTATGATCATGAAATGTTTCACGTTCTGAAACCAAAGATTACACGTTTTAATGCGTAGAAAGAGGACGCACAAACACCAGAAATAGTCCACCAGAACACATAAGGGTTGGTCAAAAAATTCTTCAAATACAATGACTTGAAATATTACAACACGGATTTTGAAAGTGGGGAAGATTAATAAAAAAATCTGAAATACAGTACGTAAATAACATTATTCATCCTTACAATTTACCAATGCAGAAAACCCACAAAATTATCGATTACAAGAATACTCCAGAATAAAGAACTTTCATCAATTACTCTGCTGTAGAAATATAGCTATTTTTCAATTTCGGTTGAGGATTCCATCAATGGCAAACGTAACGGAGACCAATTGCTGCTCATGCAAGATTTCGAGCAACCTCGGGATTTAGATCCACACACAACATTTCTCAAACCAAAAGCCCTTTCCCCCTTCTCTGGTAATTTTTAATTTAGTTCACTGATTCAACCAAGCTAACGACGCATAAAATTTTTAAAAATCCTACTTGGCACACATGACACTACGTTGCAAAATTTTCGAGGGCAGCGGAGATACAGCCTTGAAAAGAACAATGAAAGAAACGTCATTTTGAATACACTTTAGCATTCCTCGATTAATTTCAATCTCCAATGTTCGCAATATTCCGCGGGCAGAAACAGATTCTACCGTTAGCGAGGAGTCTGGTGACTCCAAAGGTGTGGATAAAATAAGGGATCACTATTGAAGTCACGAAACCCTGTGGAAATATGCGAGTGGAGTTTACGGAAATCGTCATTACAAATTGCAAGCAACTCTTCTCGAAAAAGACGAGAAAGATTCCAGTTCTTCCATGCGGTCCTCGCAGCTTCCTCCAATTTTTCTTCATTTCCATGGTAAAATACGCAACGTGCATAACGGAAACTTGGATCAACAAAAACCTGATCAGGGAGTGTTTTTCTTTTTGCAGCATCAGTGTGAATTGTTCAATAATCAGAAACTATAATGCAAACGGGTATTTTTTTAAAATTCCAATGGCGTTGATGGGAAGGCCGGATGTCAATAAAACTGCTGCCAAGTGGTTCATAAATACAGGTGGACTATCTCTCCAACGAAATTCGAGGGACCAGAAAAAAAATGTGTTGCAGGGGGAATTTCGTTGTGGAGAACCCCCAATTACATGGGGATATACCCTATGAGAAAAAAATCGCTTTGCGAAGAATCAGTCGCGTCAAGATCGTTGTAGAGAGATTCCACATTCATTATGCAAATACAGTACAAAACATCTTCAACTATCTATATGCATGTGTTTGCTTTTCCTGTAAAACAACATTGAGAGTGCGCACACATCCAGAGAAGTATAAAGAATTACTGATATTGTCAATGATTCTCATGAAATCAAGGACCTTCCTCGCGTTCTTAGACAGTTCAATTGCCGAAAAACAAGCTTTCGGGAAAGATTAGTCTAAAATTGCGAAGATACGCTCTCAAATTCCAAGAGTGAACGGGTAAATCCTAATATTGAATAAGTAAAATTTTCTCGACCTTTTCTTCAACTTGTTTCATCGAATAAAATTAGGTTGCGGAGAGCCAACATGTCCAGGTGAAATCCAGTTTCAAACGCTAAAATTTTCAAAGTTTCACAAGTACAGTACATCACTTTAATTTTAACTTCTGGGGACTTTAAAAACCAGTCCTCAAAACAAAAGAGGAGGGTGTCTCATCACCTTGTTGTCAAAATCAAGATCCTGTCGAAAGCAGCGGGGTTAGCGCACTTCAGCCGGCTCCTGTTTCGGTGGGGTGTGGTTGGCCAGTTCGCGCGCATTGTGCTGGAGGTGCGGCGGGGCAGGTGGCCCGCCGATCGGGAGCGAGACGGGCGGCGGTGGAGGCGGCTGTTGCGCGTGGGCAACAGCAGCGGCCGCCGCGGCTGCTGCAGCTGCAACCGCTGCCGCCGGATGCGGCGCCCCGGCTCCCGACGCGGCAGCCAGCGCCTCCTGGTGCGAAGCTGTGTGCGCCATGGACAGGGATGGCGGAAGGAACGGCGCCCCGACGCCCATCAATCCCGCGCCACCACCTGTAATATCAACACCTTTTTAATTCTCGTAAAATTCAGCGGGTTCCCATACAAAGCATCCATTCTGAATGCGTTTCGTTCGCGAGAATTTATGGAACGCGGGACACGATTTCCTTTAAGGCTACATTACAAATTAATTCAAGCGCTACAGAAACTCATCAGAAGCTCATAGTACGGGCGGACTCTTCCAAAAACAAAATTTAAGGGACCAGAAAAATTTTTCAGAGAGAATTTCGCTGAGGATGAACTCTTCAACATGGGAGAGAACCCTACGGAACCAAAAAATTTTCGTTGTACAGAGAAAATCGCTTCAGAAAAGATCGTTGTGGAGAGAGTCCACCTACTACTGCATACTAGTCTAACTTTTCAGCATTAATTTGTCAGATTAAAATTTATTCATCTTGATTTGGAGTGATTCTAAAACGTTTTTGGTACTAATGTCCTGAATTTCACAGATTTTAAAAACAATATAAATACTGAGAACGCGTGAAAAATTAAGCAAAAGAAAGACATGATTTCATGCGATCAAAAAGCAAAAAAAAAAAAAAAAAGAATTTGAAAATCTGAATTTAATCTTTACGGATAAACAAACAAATGGGGATAAATATGCACTTCATCGCAGACTAAGTCCATCAGGATTATACTATACACAGATATCCCAAAACCTGCCGAAATCCAGCAAATTTTCAGAAAATTACGGTTATCCGGCGATTAAATGGAACAATCAAAGATAACCGCTCAAATTCATTCAAACACGAACCTTAATGATCGAACCAAATTCGTCACATAATAAAATTAATAAAATCGAGACTCGTTCGAAACGTCAGCCAACCCTAGCCATTAATAAAGGCAGACTTTCTCTCTACGATTTTTTCTGTGCAAAGAAAACACATTTTTCTGCGGTCCAACAAAGATTCTCTACAACAAAATTCGCCCTGCAACGGATATTTTCCTCCTAGTCCCCTGCATGTTGTTGTAGGGAGTCCACCTGTCTACGTGGCATCCACATCAACGGGGTTAAAAGAACGGAAGCATATGAAGATATCCACGAGAAAATGCCTTCTCGGCCAAAATCTCAGCAAACAGAGACAGAAACGAAGCGATTACGAGGAAAGCGGTTCATGCCGCGACGGCACGCAAAAGAAAAAACATAAATCTCCATACCGCAAACTAACTTCCGAAGTGATAAGAGAAAGAAGAACACTTCCAAGAGCAACAAGTGGTCATCAACGACGTACCATTCAAACTATCGGCGACACCAAGACCACCGCCGAGGTGTGACATAAAGCAGTCCTTATTGACGCAGTTGCGCAACGAGTCCGGGATTCGGCCCACGATGGCTCGTCTAACTTCCGAGGCTGCCATTTCGCGCAATTCCGTCATGGCCGCGTCAGAGTAAAATGCAGAGTGCGGTGTGCACATCAAATTCGACGCGTCTTTCAGCGGTCCTGAAAACATCCATATAAACGAAACATTTCGTCGATGAATAAACAAATGATAATCAAAACCCATGGCGTCCAACTGGAACATTGGCATTCTAATCAAGCAGGTCTGAGCGACAGAAAGCAAAATCTTGGTAATACTGTATATACTTGAACCTCAAGAACTCAAACCTCTCTCGGTAAAATTTTGTTTCAAGTCCCTGCTGAATCCTCTTAGAAACTATGCATCAAAAACCACCCTAACTCATAAGACTTTCCTCCTCAAACTCAAATTTTCCGTAACTTTTCCCCCGTCATTTTAAAGAAAAATGAAAGATAAAAGCATTACAGTACTGTAAAAATGTCAAGACGCATTCCGAAAGGAAGTGAAAGACGAGAGAATTAACCCCTGCCTCCAAGTTTGGCATACGGTAGTTTCAACTAATCTAAGAAGCAATTTAAGGCCTAGCCAATTACCATTGCCCGTGATTTAATTTATTTTCCGCAACAAAAATGCTTGTGTCCCCAATTCAAAACTCCTGAACTCGAATTTTGTCGTTGGTTCCACTGTATTGATGACTGGTTTTATCGTGCCATATGAACACAAAAATTCTGTAAGTGTCAAAAGGGTGCGTAACTCGACAGCTAGTACAGTACATCAATAACTTCAAGTAGAGAAGTGCAAAAAACAGAGCCAGACTGCAACAGGGAGAATGCACGGGGCACGTTGCAAAGGGGGCAAGAAACAATGAAATAAATTTTGCTTTTGGTCGAAAGAGCAAGTACAGTACCAGAATAGCAGTTACCAAAACAGCCAGACGACGAGCATGTGTAGATAAGTACAGGTGCGAGGTGCCAGAAAAAATATAAATTCCGCAACACCGATCAAACAAGTATCGATAATTCAGCATCCCTAACATATTCTAATCGAGTCGAACATCTTTAACTCGAATCTCTGCAAGTCGAAAACCTCTCGAACTAAAATTTGTTTCCGGTCCTTGCCAAGAGTAACTAGAAAACAACGTAACCTGAACCTGTTCAACTCGAAATGTTTCAACTGTGAATTTTTCAAGAAAAGGTAGGAGAGGAAACTTAAATAATGCTTCTGAAAAAGAAAATTAGCAACTTTAATTGGTCCGTGACTAAAGGTTCTGCATTCTGTAGACTCATTTTGGCTGACGTTTCCAGTTATACAGCCTTTTTTATTTCGTTTGAATAATGGATGAAATAATTTTGGATTCACTACATAAAGTTGCAGCAAACATTCACGCCACAATTATTCCTTATAAAATTTGCCGCCAGTATTTTCACACCTAGTCTTCCTAACCTCTGCAATTCAAAACCGCCCCAAGTCGAATTGTTTTGCTGGACTCTTCAAATTTGATTTCGAGAGGTCCGACTGTACACTTAGACTTGCACTTCAGAGCAGGTTACGAATGGAAACTAGCTCTTCAGAAATGCACATTTCACAGCCAAAATCCACAAATTTCCTCCCGGCAAAGGCGAACACTCACCGGCAAATGCATTAAACGGTTCATTCTCATGCACATCGAGCGCAGCTGCACGAATACGACCGTCTTTCAGTGCAGCTGCGAGCGCCGACTCGTCCACTAGGCCGCCGCGGGCAGTGTTGACCAAGAATGCCCCAGGTCTCATCTGCTTGATGGTGTAGTCGTTGATCAAGTGATGATTGTGCTCATTCAGCGTACAGTGTAGCGAAACACAATCAGATTGATAAAGCAGATCCTAGAAAAATAGCGAAGAAATTAGGGCTCATCCACTTAGAATATCTGGTTAGGCGAGACCTCACGTCTAGTTCTTCATCGTTACACTTTATGGTACAAAAAACACAGTATTCTAAACATTTGAGGATGTTCCCAACATTTATTTTGTTCCTTCGAACGTATTTCAGATTGAATTTGATATGAGATGAGGCAGACCAGCCTGATTTTATCTTAAAACTTCATCACGGACATAACAGGGATGTACCAGGACTTTCGAAGACGGACTATTCACATACAGCATTTCCTACCAAACAGGGTCTAAACATGATATATTTAGAATAAAAACAATAACCTCAAAAACCGGTCAATGAATCTTACACCGTCACCAAACTAAAAAATCGTCACATTTCTTCACAAACTCGATAATACTGAGGAATTCTGCTTTCTTCTCAAAGATCGTCTGTTTTTACAGAGTGAAACTTCACCGTTCTTCTATACCCACTTGAACAAGCACAAATACTAACTCGAGGTACCCCCAACCTTCTTCTGCTCTAACACAGCTTTCATGATTTCGCCGTGAATCGCTCGTAAATCCTCGCCAAAAGATAGTGTACCTAACCGAAATTCACAGGAATACTAGTACCGGGGTACATCTTGTGGTTCCAAAATACTGCCCACCTGTAAGGTGTAAACTCGTGTCAGGCCCAGACTCTTTTCGATTCCATCCGGCAGGTAAGGGTCATAGAAGATCACGTTGAACCCAAAAGCTTTCGCACGCAGGGCGACTGCGGATCCGATTCGCCCCAGTCCCACAATACCAAGCGTGTCCCCGCGGATCCGAGCACAACCTTGGGCAGCATCGCGGACCTGTTCAGGCCCTGTGAACTTCTTTCCATCTCGGACCATGTTCGCCAGCCAAAGCGTGCGACGGTATAGACTCAGCACCATGCACATCGTGGAATCCGCAACTTCTTCGACGCCGTAACCAGGAACGTTGCAAACCGCTATGCCCAACTCGCCGGCTGCTTTCACATCGATGTTGTCCACGCCGCTTCCGATGCGAACGATCACTCGCAAAGCTTTGAATTTTTCCAGATCTTCTCGATGTAGGGTGATTGTATGCCACATCAAAGCGCCCACAGCTTCATTGAGAACCTGTCATTGAGAGCAAGGTCGTTGATACATGGGGAGCATAATCGAACATTTCGCGCTGAATATACGCCGAGAACCGTCATTAAACCCATGCTACGACACAAATTCCGCAAAACCAACAAGATAACATCAAATATGCGGATTGTTCACACCTTCTCGTGAATCTCGGAAGTACTCTGAGCATCACAAAATGCAACAGTTGCTACGTCCTTCAGGATGGGCATCTCAATAGAACAATCACGTCCATCGAGTAAAGCAACAAGCGGCCTAGGGTGCATAGGACCATTGGCGATTGGTCCTGTTCCACGGCCGCCGAGGGTGTCCATTCGGGGTCGTTTATTAGACGACGCGACACCGCCTCCAACGACGCCGACACCACTTCCGACCCCACCCGCACTGCTGCCCGTCATCAGCTTACGCTTGTCAATCACTGGTGACCCTGACATCCCAGTAACGATGTTAAGCAGAGTAGTTCCAATTTTAGGTGGACACGCGTGTGCCACACAATGCGAAAGACAGGGTCACTATGGAGGAATAACGATATCAAGATCGCTACAACGTGTAATTTTTCCTGCAGCACTGCTTGCGCACTCCACCACCTTCTCCGCCGCGCAAATTCCTGTCGAAGGAAACTCCATATTAGTCAAAAATGTTCATAAAATCGCATGACCTGTAATACGGGATCCACAATCGATGAAGTCTACGCATGATGAGCACTTGAATTAGATCGCTACATACTTTCGAACACCAAAAAATCCTTGCATATTTGTGAGTTTCTCTTCCGCAGTAAATCGATTCCAGTCAAACGAATTCACCATTGCTTTTGCAGTTCTCACGAACACTCGAACAATCTATGAGTACCTGGCGACTCACACGAAACAGCTCATACTACGTGCACGCAAGCGATGTTGTACGTATACCCAGATGGTATTTAAGATATACTCTTGAACTGAAACAAATTCTCACTTCATACAGCTGAAGTGATACGTTTTCAAAACACAACAATGGTGTCAACCTAACCATAGCTGCGACTCTCTGATTAGTTCTTTTCCCGATGGAATTTCGCCGGACAATGCAATGGTAGACGCCATCTTCCGACCGAATAAGTATCGAATTGCCGCGGGGATTAAGTGATCAGATGTTTGTCCAGTCTGCCCATTCTGGTATTTCATGCATGGCAAAATCAGCATGCATGCACTGTGTGCGTCATATCATCTTGCATCTATTGAATGACGCAGTGAACTGTGCAGTGTAATAGTGCATGTGATGTTTGTATGATGTGCAAATGTACTGTGCTTTCAGTCAAAGGTATCAATGCTGCGTACGGTTGCACTAATCAAGGTATCAAATCTTTTGAAGGCCATGAATTGTTTCTGAACAGATTTGCAAACAGGGCTTTTCAACCAGTGGTACGCATGCCATTCGCACCAGTGGTACGCTAGGGCTTGGCAGTTGGTACACCTACTACTCTTCAAAAATAAAGAAGAAATGCTCAAGTAATTGTCTGACACATGAAAAAGGTGAATATGTCCTTCCAAGCCCCATGCAACAACAAAGTACTGTATGGGAATTTCCTGGATTACAATGGGTTCCTATTGGCAGGCCTTGTTTTAAAAGGCATGTTCCAAATTTGGCGCACTATCATGTGGGGAGGAAATTTTTGTAACTAGGCAGATGAGACAGGCATTTCCATTGAATTATCCCAACTAAATAAAGGATGAATGTTGTGGCCTAATTTTTTCAAAGTCAGGTTCTGTTGGCCAAACCTATAGTCAGTGCCACATCTGCAGTGATGCACATCTTTGCAATGAAATTGGGAATTTTAGGTGCAGAAAAAGCACCTCATTATTTTCCCTGACCATCATCTGCCAGTTTAAAGAAATCAAATATAAGTAAGTAAGTTATAAGTTTTTTTTCATGAACAAACCTTTCTTTGATGTTTTTTTCCTGCTTTAATTCGAGTTCTTTTTCTGCTTTTTTCATTGATGTATTTACATTGTGCTGGCCCGCATATACTTCTCTTCTTCTTCAGTGAGGCCACAATCACTAAACCTATAACTCATCAATATTGTCTTTCTTTTAAATGACAAGTGAAAGCAACACAGCTGATGGTCTGTTGGTAACAACATGTGCCCTGAATTGTATGTATATATATATTTCCCTCCCACACACAAAATGTTTCTGATCCATTTTTTCAAACACAAACAAAAATGACGACTGCCTCATCATCATCATCAGTGTTCCTTCTTGGCCACCAATAAGGCTCCTTTCGGTTTGCCAGATGATGCAGCAATGCTGTGTTTCCCATCTCGCCGCAAGTAGGTGTGCACAAAGAAATTGGCAAAAAGCACAAAGTACGACACGTACATGACCATTCCTGCGACAATTCCAGCATCCGAGACGTCGCATCCCCGAGCCGAGTACTTGAACCTGATGGCTACCACATTCCAGAACAGGCCCACTACCATTTGGCTCATTTGACCCGCAGTGATGAGCACTGCTACCCATGTGGGCATGCGGATCCGGGCTGCCCTCAGGGCATAGTACGAGTACATGAGAGAGTGGACAGAGTAGTTCATGCTGCCGCAGGAGAGTCCGATGGACGAGGACTGGCTGTTGAATTCCCAACAGTAGAGCAGCACGGTAATGTGGTGGTACCTGATGCATAATTATGGCAAAAAAGGGATATAAACCACATTAAAAGGGATACCGCACTTTAGTAAAAAATTCATCCAACTTTCAAAAGTGTCCAAGTGGTGTAACTCCTACAGCATGAATAAATTAGTTTGTGCATCACCAGAGCACCTTCTCTTATGTCCAGCATTTCACACTGATAGAAACAAGCTTAAGATTTACAAGTATATTGGAATTCAATAATGAAGAGACACCCTTTCTGAAATCTTGAAAGATGAAGATAAACTGTTAGCCTTATATATGATTACTCATCAAAGATTCTCTCTAATTTTTTCATTCAACTAAACCTCAAACAGAAACAAGCTGAAGACCTTGTGCTTTAAATTAATTTTTACATATATTTTGTTTCCAATGTCAGGGAATGAATGGGTGTATGCATATACATGTCAGATGTCCAGTTGTATTTCATTGATTGTATTTTCTTTTATTTTTGTAATAAATTTGTGTTCTGTTTCCTGCTCTGAAGCGATTAAATGTCATTGAGTGGATTTTGGTTGGGTGGGACGGGGGTTTGGTTGTGGAAATCTTGATTAAACCTTGTAAATGCTGAAAAGCAGCAAATAAAGTGTTCTGCTCATTCTTTCATTCATGAACCACATTAGTTATTGTCTCAGGGCTTGAAATCAATTACTGTCTGAACTAACAAATATTTTATTGAAGAATCATCTGCCCTGGATTAATCAGATGTACAACTAGAATTTTCGGATAAAAACTGAGAGATAAAAACTGAGAGTATTCTCAAGGAACATGATGATCATACCCTGGTTTTCAGTGACCAAAAATGGCAATATACAGTGAGACCCCCACTTGTGGACACCTTTACATGTGGACAATTCAACCTACAGACACTTATCTTTCCATTTTAGAAAGACATAAAAAAGGCCATACGTGTGGACATTGCGTTCTAAAATTGCAAAGGCATTTCAGGCCAAATTACAAGAAACAGATATTTACAATCCTAAGAACTATGTAAGAAATGTGTTTTCTTACAGGATGATCAATCTTGCAACTCATACCATGTATAGCTACTGCTGTAAACATTAATTTGAAATGAGGTTTTTTAACCTCTGGAAATAAAGTTATTGAAGTGTTGAGATGGAACAGTTATTTCAAATTAAAATATCACACAAACTATTTATGCTGCAAAATAATAGGTCTCAGACATTTTTGAGCTTCACAAGCTTTTGAGGTGTGCAAATATTTTGAACACCATATTTTTAGCGGAAAATCAGTCTATTGTGGGAGACACAAAATTCTTCAGAGATTGATTCAGATAAGTTTTTATCCCACTGGCCGTTATTTTCTTGAATTTTCCCTATTCTGCCTGGTAATTGATCTGCTGCTGAACTATCCCTTGAGAAAAAATACATTGATGGTGCCGAAGGATTCCTTGTTTGACAATTTCTTTTCACATATGAATGATAGTTAATTGCTGATTCCTAGTTTTATTCCTCCATTAAGATCTCCATCTGTCTGAAAATTATATTTCATCTAATTTTTCTTAATTATTGAAGATCTCGTCTTCATGTACAGATAATTTCATTTGAATTGTTTTTGTGGAATCTTAATGATGACCTAATTTTACATGACATTGGTCATCAAGAACTCAAGATACAGATACTGTACATAGAAGATTCAGTTACAGTACCTTTTTGTCTGTATTCTTATCAAAAACTAAACTGTGCACCCAGAAGGATTTATCTGGTTCTAAACTGAGATGATGAGGATTGTGAATGCTGGTCCAGTATTCATAATATGAAAGAATCAGTCAGAGTGTACAGTGAAACTCGCAGAAAATGAAGTCATAAAATGATGAATCAAGGGTATTAAAAATCTCCAGAGGCTGGAGTTACATTTCAAAATTATGAAACAATGTACTGTAGAAAATGCCATTCTGATCTGTAGTCTGAAATTTATACATATGATGACTGAGGAAAATTACATGATTTAACAAAGGATTGCCAAGTTCAATGGCAATAAAGGTACATTCCTGAACACTAGTTTTGCTCAGAAAAAGAGAAAAGCCTTTTTAGACTCACCAAATTGAACCTTATTGGAGTTTAAAAAAAATAAAACAGGGGTGAAATATTTTTTGCCACATGTTCTATCACAAGGCTGGACAGGGGTAGAATATTTTCTTGGGAATGAAAAGTTTATGGGGCAGCATAAAAATTGAACCATAATATTTTGAAACATATTTTGCTTGAATTTGCTACGTTTTCTATGCTATATGCACATGAATGGCATGAAAACCTTGCTTTCTTGTATGTATTGCAAAGAAAATTTAACCTTTATCTCCTTTACCAGTCTAAAAACTTCATGATAAAAGCTCATCAGTCCGCACTTTGTCCCTCATTTTTCAACTAAAACAGGTTGAAAGGGTCTTTAAAAGGCATTTGAACAGACTTAGAAATTGTTTCGCAGTGTCAAACAGGTCAATAATGGGAGATGATTTTACTTAGCTTATTATTTTTTGCGGCAACCCTGTATTCCAGTGTGGCCACTATGGAACCAAATATAATTTTTATTCACATTCACTGATACACGATTTTAAGCAGTATGCTCCCACAGCACTGAGAAAATTCTTCCAATAATTTTACACATCACAAACCACTACTGCAAACATATAAAAAACAGTCGCGGACTGACAATTAATGTAGGATTTGAATTTTTGGTACTTTCCTGTTATCTCTGTACCTCATTCCTAGACTGCACTACCATCCAGACAAATCTTTAGGACAAGCTCATGATCACAACAACCTACCAGAAACTGTGAATTTTATTTTTCCGCATTCTACTGAAACTGATTTTGGGAGGTGGTCAGGTTAAATTGGTCAGAGGGAAGGTACAGAGATAAAAGGAAAGTCAATACTGAGATAACAGGAAAGTATAGGTACAGAGATAACAGGAAATTAGGTACAGAGATAACATGAAAGTGCCAAAAAAATTTTCAGTGGATATTGATCATAGAAACCAATAGAAGAAGAGAAAAATAATCACCAATGCAAGAAGATCAAAGGTTGTTTGCGCAAAATGATGAAGACAGTGTCGCCAAGTTCGACAACTTTTGACATCGTGAAAAGGAAGCACCATAACCCAGTCACCTTCCAGGTCATGTATCTGAAAAGGGAATAAAAGTGTCTTTTATTGAGGACAATTAAATTTAAACCATCATCTTCGTTTAAAATAAAGAAAATGCGGAATGTTTCCGTGTTGACTTTATTTCAATGTGGAAATTCCTTCCATGTGCTGCATATACGTATAAATCTGTGCTGATATCAGAACGCATTATTAGAAACGCAATTGATTTATATCAAAAATCTTTTGAGAAAAATTTACAACCTACTCCGAATGCCAGGGAATTTGAGAAATAAGAAATAAGGCAGCTTTTTGTATTTTTCTAACAGCAACACCCACCATCATGACTTTTGATCATACTTCAACAATTTTTGTTCATGATTCACTTTTACTGTTTTTAGTATTTTGTTGACCCATTTTCAATCTTTGAGCAGGCCTTTGGAGCATATTGAAGGCTAAAAACATTCTGTACATCATGAAAATTAAGTAATCATTTGCCAAATTTAAAATAAAAATATGTGAGTAAAAATTGTCAATGATTTTTTTTTTGCTATAGCTCATGATACATCATTCCCTAATGAGGTGCCACCCTCAGTATAACAGCCAATTTATTTTGAAAAACAAATCTTCCCCAAATGATAGAAGCATTAAAAAAACTATTAAAATGCCACCTTCAAAAGTTATTGAGAACTCCAATATGCTCTCATGTCAATTTATTCTGCTCCAAAAACATCCAACAACAAGATTCAAGGTTTCTGCAAGAGGTCTTGAATTAAAAAACACAAATACAAAGATGACATTATTTACCTCTTATGAACAGATATAATTTACACTTCCATCGCTTCCCAGGGTTCTTTTGATTGTCTTCTAGAAGGCTGAGATTTGTATTCTCTATTATACCACGAGTTTCATATTGTTTAGCAATCTTTTATCTTGAAGGTTTTCTAGAAGAATGACAATTGTATTTCCTATTATGCCTAATTTTAATATTATTTTCAAAAGTTTGTTTAACTGCAAAAAAACCTCGCAAGTGGTGGAGGCTCATGAGGTTTCAATGTAAGTGTTTTCCACAAAATTTCAGTCATGCTCAAAGTACCATGGATCTCGAATTAAAACAAATCCTTCATAATAAGGTCCCTGATGGAAGATACACTCAAACCTTGATTTAATGTCATCATTTGTCCTGGCACATTTTGTGGCACAAAATTTGAGGGTATTCCATTCGAAGAAAATTCCTTTTATGACTCCTACTATTGGTAAAACAGGATTCTTTGCAGAATTGTTAGGCCCTTGAGTCTGTTAAAAAAAAAAGCCAAGCCAAAAAATGTGAGGTTGAAATAAACTGTGTCTAGAGCATTTGAATGTACTTTATAGTACAAAATATATTATATTTTTGCACAAATTTGGTTAAGTACAAGAGTGGAACTGTTTCTTGCATTTTTTGTATCAACAATCTTATGTGTCAACAAAATCACACAACCCCAAGGTCAGGTGGAATGATCTTCAATTCTTTAAAGAAGCTACTGTGTCTCAGTTATTGAGATGCTCTTTGTTGTGGAGAAAATTTAGATAAAACCACCAAATGACATACAAGGGTTCTAACAAAATTTCTTGGAATAGAAATTAAAATGGCGTCTAATCGAGCTGAAAACAAAGTATTCTTTAGGAAAAAAATATTCTTTGGCACAAAAAAATTTGCCCTGTTTGACATTGGCGGCTGTGAATAAGGCGGCTTTTGATGAAAATGGCAGAATTACCTTGGTAAACCTGGAGTCAACCCTTGGAATTAATGCCATGTTGATTTCAAGAATTCTGAGGGAAAAGTTGGGCTACAACAACAAAAACTGCAGGAAGGGCGCCTCATCTTTTGAGTGTAGACTTGGAGAGAAAACTCTGCCAGGGTGAATTTTGCAAAACATAAAAAAAATTTTCAAACAGGGCCAATATTTTTGTGTGCCAAAGAATGTATTTTCCCTAAAGAATAATTTGTTTTCCGCTCAATTATAAGCCATTTTAATTTCTATGCTGAGAACTTTTGTTAAATCCCTTGTACATGCAAATTCAGAAAACTAAGTTTTTAAAAATTATCCTGAGCATTACCAGGTGATTCTTGGTTGGTAATAATCCAATGATATCCCTAGGCTGAATGTTGGCCAATTTTTCATTCAGGACAGGTAATTTTGGTGGCACTAAGTGCATTGACACTAAATTAAGGTTTCCCTTAAGCCATTTACTTCAAAATTTCCCTTAAGCCATTTACTTCAAAATTTCCCTTAAGCCATTTACTTCAAAATTTCCCTTAAGCCATTTACTTCAAAATTTCCCTCAAACTCATTTTTACTTGATCCAACTTCACTATACCTCCCAGATATGCTAGAATCATTTTTAATTTTAAGGTACTTTCCTGTTACCTCTGTACCTACTTTCCTGTTACCTCTGTACCTACTTTCCTGTTACCTCTGTTCCTACTTTCCTGTTACCTCTGTACCTTCTCTCTGTCCAATTTAACCTGACCTAACCTAACTTCACCTAACCGCCCCCCAAAATCAGTTTCTGTTTCTTTGGGTTCCTGCTGAAACTGATTTTTGGAGGCGGTTAGGTAAAGTTAGGTTAGGTCAGGTTTTATCTTTTAATGAACAAAACTTGACCTAACCTAACTTTACCTAACCACTTCCCAAAATCAGTTTCAGCAGAATGCAGAAAAATAAAATTCACAGTTTCTGGTAGGTTGTTGTGATTATGAACTCATCCTATAAAGATTTGTCTGGATTGTAGTGCAGTCTAGGAATGAAGTACAGAGATAAAAGGAAAGTACCATTTTAAATTTTCAGTTCAATTTTGAAGAATTTTTCTTCTTGATTCTACTCCATATAATGCCCCAAGAACCAGTCAGGTCACATTTTGAAGGGAAAATTTGAGACTGTATCTGCCTTCATTGGGGATGTTTCATTATAAGAAATCACAACATGTTCTTCAAAAAAGTTTTTAATACCGGAATTGGTGAGTCAGTCATGATTATATTTTGATTACATGTACTCCATAGGATTTCTGCCGGGATTTGGAAAAAAAGTTTGTTGTACTCAAAAATTTGTTGTAATGGTATTTGCTGTAATGAGATTTTACTGCAATAAATACTTTAAAAAATCTTGTTGTTCCATTCGAATTTTTGTTTTCTCTCCATCTCACGTGTTGTCGCAGATGCCAGCGTGAAGCCCTCCAGCCTGCACCAGTCTGTAAAGTGTCGGAGCAGTTCGATAAGTGCCAAACATGCTGAACACTGCCAGCGACACATTCCACAGCAACAGAGGAGTTTTCAACTCAAACCTCGGCCTGTTTCTCATCAACACCGGCCCGAGGAACACAAATACCAAGTATACAGCCACGGATCCATACGGAATGATTTTGTAGGACTGCAAAAACTCGAGCACGGTCTGTTGGTCGTAGTAATCTTCAAAGGGGAAAATCAGGGGAGCCTCCAAAGGGTTTTCTTTCGACAACGACGAAGATGTCTTCATGATGATGTCGAATGCCGAATGATGTGGCACGCCAACAAAATTTTTCTGCACTGCAGGTGATGACGAGACACACTATACCAACGAGAAAATAAAAAGACGATGTTCCCCACCAGAAAATAAAAATGGGAGGAAAAACCTGCGATTCGATCCCGTTCTTGTCGGGTGAGGGTCTGACGTTTGCAAAAACGTGTATATATATACATTGGCGACGTCACGACGAGTCCACGTTTGCAGCATGAATTTCTTTTCTGCGTGCAAAAACTCGAGGCCAAGAAAGAAAGGAATAAATTCGAACAATTTTCTTTTGGAAAAAACTGGCTGAATCACTCCCCACGTTTATTGAAAAATTTCCACAACTTTCACGAAAACCCAGAAAACATGCCGACGAAATCGTTCCGAATTTTTTTCGCGACGCAAAAAAAAAAATCTAAACCCTTTTCTTGATTCATATGCCCTCGTTCAACATTTGGAAAAGTTTGCCTTTCCAAAGCAGTGAATCAAAACTATTTCAAAATTCTTTGTACGTTTTTAAACTTTTTAGTCTTGACAAATGTGACCGATTACCAACAAGAAATTTCTCAAAAACTTTCAAGGCTGAATATACCAACGAATTTTCCACAACTTTTACGAAACCCAGAAAAGATGCCGACGAAATATTTCCGATTTTTTTTCGCAACGCAAAATTTTTTTCAACCCTTTTCTATATATGCCCTCGTTCAACTTTTGGAAAATTTTGCCTTTGAAAAGCAGTGAATCAAAAAGATTCTTCTTAGTTTTTTCAAACTTTTTTAGTGTTGAAAAATGTGACCAATTTCCAACATAAAAATGATTTCAAAAAGTTTAAACTCTAAAGATCCCAACAATTTTTCCACGATCGATCACGAAACCCAGAAAAAATTCCGACGAAATATTTCCGTTTTTTTCGCAACGCAGAAAATGTTTTTCTAACCCGCGTTTCTTTGCCCTCCGACATTAGCAAAACGTTGCCTTATTTGCAAACAGTGAATAAAAAATACAATTCTTTGTTTCCTTTTTAACCTTTTTTTAGTGTTTACAAATGTAACCAATTTCCAACGTGAAAATGTTTTCATAAACTTTCAATGCAGAAAATAAACGATCAGTGGAATAGCAGAAATACAATCTCGGTAAATTTCTTCTGAATTTATTTGGAAATTTTCATTGAATTCCATGACGCCAATTCAGGGATCCGAACGTTTATTTTCGACTCTTTGCCATTTTTATTCGAAGTTTGGAACAGAAAATTGACATACTGAAACAAAAAATAGAATTGAATTACCCGGAAACCCCCTTCAATTTTTTAAAATTTCCAACAGTATGCCTTTCTTTTGCTTCGACGTTTTCAAAAATTAAAATTTTTTTTGATCAGCATATCTCATCCATTCGCATGAAAATTTCACTTTTGAATCCAATATCCACTTTTTCCCAAGAATCATGAACAGGGTAAAAATATCACTCAAAAAGAGCAGAAAATTCAACATATTCAATAGCATCATGCATAATTTCCACAATATATAGCGAACATCCCTCGGCAATTTCGACTATCGGATTTTTCCGAGAGCGAAAACTATGAGCGACTTTCAATTCAAGCATCAGCATAAATTCACTCGAATCAGATTTTTCCTAAATTTTTACACTAAGAAAATAATCGAAATTAAAATTCCGAAGCTCATACGAAAATAATCGCTGAGATTTCCTTCTGAAAGATCTTTGGTTTTCTACATACATCTGCATCAACATATGGGGGTTGGGGTCTACATTGTGCAAGACACAGTGTTGCCAACAATACTTGAGTGAAAATCAGTAATCCATTTACCAGGAAAATTTGATGAAATCCACTAGAATCCCTCTGAGAGAATATTCGGGGTTTCTCAAACATTTAGAAAATGGAGATGTATACCTGAACTGGAAAATCCAAAATCCTTAATATCTCTTATTTGGAGAATTTCTGGGGTGGTTTCCATATTTCTTCTAGAAAATTAAGAGATATTCTCTACATTTTCATTCTGATTCATTTTGTAATCAGTGTTCCCCAACCCTTTTTAGGCCCAGCACAGAATAACAAATTTCCATAAAATGTTTGCAGACCACCACATTTTCAAATAATTTTTTTTGGACTGGCAAAGTTTCATGAAATTTTTGCTCACTCAAAAAAATATTTGTTCACAAGAATTTTTAACATATATTCACAGAGTTTCTGTTTATTTTAAAAATTAAGTTAAGAATCAATGAAGCAGCTATGATTGAATGTCTTCAAAAATTAGAAAAGTAGACTTGAAGAAAGGTTTATCAGAATGAAAAATTAAAATATTTTATTTCAGCAAGTGAAAATCTGTCTGAATTTTTATTGAAGGAGAAACGCTAACTTTTATCTTTCATCAGATAATTTCACCTTCCATTGTCTTTCCAAAATTTGAGATGCTTACTTTTGATAAATTTATTATGCTGAAGAAAATTTCCTTTTTGATTTCTTTGTATATATTTTCTTTTCTTGTACTGTATATCTATATTGTATATATATATATATATTTCTTCAGCACTATATTCACAGGACTATATATATATATACAGTACAAGAAAAGAAAATATATACAAAGAAATCAAAAAGGAAATTTTCTTCAGCATAATACATTTATCAGAAGTAAGCATCTGAAATTTTGGAAGGACAATGGAAGGTGAAATTATCTGATGAAAAAGGAAAATTAGCGTTTCTCCTATAATAACAGTTCTAACAGATAATATGTATATATATATATATGAGATCACGTGAGTTTCTTCTTCTGGTGATTCTCCATCAGCGACACATCCTTATTATAAACTCTTGACCGATTTCGGCAAAAATACGCCTCGTAATAGAATTTCGCGAAAAGCAAGAAATAGGAAAAGTACATGACGAACGCGAGGTTCATGAGGGTGTCCGAAACGTGGCACACATTCCCGGCGAGTTTCTGTCGCAACACGACCAGGTTGGCGAGAATGCCGACCACCATTTGTGCCAATTGCGCCGTGGTGATGCAAAAGGCGACCTGGGTCGGCACTTTGACCCCCGCGGCCTTGAGAGCGTAGTAGGAGTACATGACGGAGTGTACGGCAAAGTTCATGCAGCCGAAGCAGTGGCCCGTGGCCGAGAGGGTCGTGTGGCCCAGCCAGCAGTAAATCAGCACTGTGACGTGGTGGTACCAGTGGAGGAAAATGAGGGGTTGCTTGCGCAGGAGGATGAATACGGTGTCCCCGAGTTCCACCAGCTTGGACACGGTGAACAAGAAGCCCCAGCAGCCAGACACAGGGTCGAAAAAGAACCTGTGGAGTTATATACAGTACAACAGTGAAATCTCCTTGCAACAATAAGCTTCTCCTGATGGGGACTTCAGCAACAAGTTTGTTATCCTGAATAATTTGCTATATACCATATTTACTTGAGTACCACTTGCCCTCAAGTAAGGCGCGCAGAGGGGTTTTTGAGTTGGAAATTTTGCTAAAATCTTATCCCCAAGTAAGACGGGCACCCCAATTTTTAGTGAATCTGAAACCACAAAATTTTGCAAATATAAACCAAAAAATTGACTTTAGGTAAGAATTGAACAAAAATCTCATCAATTTTCAACTTTTTCAGTAAAAAAAAATGTTTACATTTGCTCAAAATATCTCCATTATAATCAAGTATAATGCACACATAACTTCCTAAAACTTCTTGAAAATTTTTTACACTCTTATGACGCGCACCCCTTTTTTCTTCTGAAATTTGGGAAAAAAGGTGCGCGTTGTACTCGAGTAAATACGGTAATGAGATTTTCAAAATTAATTACTGGGAAACTTTTTCAGATTCAGCCTCCCTGCATAAAGTCTACCCTTGACTTAGTGCCACCATGCACTGCATATAGTGACTCGAATTACCCTGGAACAAATCTCCCTCCATCCTGTTCTTAATAAGGGACAACCTGATTTAATGCCAATTCTCACTCAATAGTGCCACAACAGATTTCCTGTCTTGAATGAGCCACATTCAGAAAAATTAAGGTATGTTTCTGGGGGTAGCATTTGACACAGTGAACAAGAAGCCCCAGCAGCCAGACACAGGGTCAAAGAAGAACCTGTGGAGTTGTACAGTACAACAGTAAAATCTCCTTGCAACAATAAGCTTCTGCTGATGGGGACTTCAGCAACAAGTTTGTTATCCTGAATAATTTGCTATATAATAAGATTTTCAAAATTAATGACTGGGAAATATTTTCAGATTCAACCTGCCTGTATAAAATCTACCCTTGACTTAGTACCAACCAATTTAGTGCCACCACGCACTGCATATAGTGACTTGAATTACCCTGGAACAAATCTCCCTCCATCCTGTTCTCAAGGGACACCCTGATTTAATGCCAACTTACCTATTCGTGCCACAACAGATTTCCTGTCATGAATGAGAAATACGCCACATTCAGAAAAATTAAGGTATGTTTTGGGGGGTATCATTAGATTATTACTGAGAATCACATGCCCATGCTCCAGATAATTTTTAAAACTTTTATTTCCAAGTTCACCTGTAATTGGACAGTTTTGTTTGAGTGTTCTCCACAGCAAAGAGCATCGCTCTCATCAAATAGGATAGTCTCTATAAAAAATTAAAAATCACTCAAACGGATCAACCTTTGAATTGTGTCATTTATTGGTTTCATTGCAGCTAAAAAAAAACGGCAAGAAACAGCTTTACTCATTGACTTGAACCAAAGTGTGCAAAATTATAAATTACAGTGAGACCCCCACATGTGGACACCTCAACATGCAGACAATTTGACATAGGAACATTTACTTTTCATTGAAAAGGGCATAAAAAAGCCCAACATATGCAGACACTGACTCAACATGCATACATTGCATGACAAAATTGGCAATAAGTTCGAGGAAAATCGACTTTCATGAGGCTTAATTGCAAGAAACAAATATTTCAAACCATAAAGTCTATGCAAGAAAAATTCTTTGGGATTTCTCCCATCATTTTCCCATCCATTCAGCTAATTAAAAAATAATTATATAGCCTAGTGGGACTTCCTTCATCTCTCTTTGCAACTTGAATTTTATTTTTACAGATGCCATCATCTCAATGTACTGTACAGAGGAACAGTGGTACCTCACACTACAAACGTAATCCGTTCTGGAGCTACGTTTGTAGTATGAAACGTTTGTACTGCGAATCATGATTTCCCATAGACTTCTATGGGAAATCATTTAATTTCTTCCCAAATTTCTGAAAAATTCAAAAAAATTCAAAAAAATTCAAAAAAATTAAAAAAAAAATTCAAAAAAATTAAAAAAAAATTCCAAAAACGTCTCTTTGTTTCCATCAAAGCAATTTTAGCACTCATTGAGCATTACCCTACATGTGAAACATTAAACCTATGATCCAAACTGTTTTGAAAAATATTAAGACAAAAATTATTTTTGAAAATGGGATTTAAACTCAGTTTTCTTTTTATGTGTGCATTGTAAGTTGAAATCTCTTCCAACATTGTTCATAAGGGGGTTTTGCAAAATAGTTTCAAAATTAGACTTTCATTTGAATTTTAGGGAGAGTAGATTGAAGGTTTCAAAATTTTGTTTCAAGGTGTCTCTGCTGATCTGCTCACAGCAAAAATTCTTTGAAAATTCATTTTGCTTTGAGCATAGCCCCTGCAATTCAAATTTTGATCAAGAGATGTAAAACAAAAATCCACAGATTTTATCATCAATGCATAAAATTTTAAACATTGCCTCTACAGGGGGGTTATTCTCAAAGCAGAATTTTGCTGAAAATGTGTCTGCTTTGAACATAACCCTCTTAGAAACAATAAATTTTGAAAAAATCTAAGGGGTTATGCTCATTTGAAAGCCATCTTTTACCCTGCAATGCAAACTTTCTGAAAAATTTACTTGAGCATCAGTTTTGAAAATTTGGGGGAAAACCAGATGAAACTTCAATTTCAAAGACATTTTTCATCTCAATATTTTCAGGAACTGTGGATTGCAGGGTTTAAAATTATTCTAAAGCAGTTAGGATCACAGCTGGTACAGTATTCATTTGGATTTTTAAAAAAAAATTTTTGGGATTGCTAATTAAAATTTTTTTCTATCTTAAATAATATAAATAGCTTCTCAATTGAATATAATTATGGTGGATGATTTTTTCTGATTTTTCCAATTTTTTAGAGCCTTTACAGAAATATTTAAAAAATTTCGAATTTTTGAATTTTTCAGATTTTTTGTGGAAAAAAAAAGTTTGTACTACAAATTTTGTTCGTAGTACGAGGGTAAAAAAAAAGATTTTCCTTGAAAAAAACGTTCATTCTGCGGAACGTTCGTTTTACGAGGAGTTTGTTCTGTGAGGTACCACTGTACACTATTCAATTCTCCAAATGTTCTTCTTGAGTTGAAAAGATATTAACTGAATCAAATTCAAGAGGCAAACAATTTTTTCATGGAATTTTGAAGAATATTTATTTCACAAAATACCAATTAAAATTATATAATATAAGTCTATGGGGAAATGAGACTTGAATTAGGGGCATTTCGACTTAGAGACACTCTTGATGCGCCAATTACATCTATGTCTGGAGGTCTCACTGTATTCTGTGCTATAAGGCTGTAACATGAAATTAAATGCAGCAAAACAGTTCATTGCAGCTTCATATTATTTTGTGTGGCTTTTTTTTCAAACACACTCAATTGACTAACAATTCTGTAAAAAGCATGTTTTACCCATAGAATAGATGCCCTCCAATGAATTTGCTTCTGACACAATACTCCCAATTAAAGTGTCATTCTAACTTGCTCAGGGGCACAAAATACGAGTATATGCCAGGAAAAATGCTGGCACTGAATTGGGGGTTGACTGCAGAGTGCTGATCCACATTTTAATGCTGTACAGTATTGCTATGTATCTTGTTTTAAATGTAATTACTTTGATCACTCCCCTATACCCCAACAAGATGAACTTTCCTGTCATCATTGGTATTTATTTCTGACCAGATCATTTCAACTGCCATGATAGTGTGTAAGTGCTTTTCCACATGTGTATGCATATAAGAGAAAGAAAACTGTGCGTGTCTCATTGTGGAGTGGAAGCAA